TGAAAATCATTAGAGGTGAACAAGAGTGAGCAATTATTGTCTTTTGTGAATTGGTGAACTGAAAGGAGATTGGTTTTAATAAAAGAAACGTGGGTAAGGTTACCTAGGTGAAAGATAGCGGTGGGGGTGTTAATGGTACCCGTGCCAGTGTGAGAAATAGTAAGGGACTCACCGTTTCCAACAGTAATACCATTGGAGCCATGATATGGATTTGGAGCGTTAAGCTTGGATAGATAAGAAGTAACGTGCATGTTGGCCCCAGTATCCAACAGCCATTCAGAGGAGGGGCCGACTTGAGATGCATAATTGGCACGGTTATCACTATTTCGGCTCTCCTCATACCGAAACCAGCAACGAACAGCGGTGTGTCCTGTTTTCTGACAGATTTGACAAGTTGGACGATCCCGCTCGTAAGTGCCCTGCCCGCCGCTGGAAGATGACTGTCCCCCGCTGCTGAAGGAGTGCAGGCTATTGTTGCTGTCGTGCTGCTGACCGTCGTACGGCGGACGACTGCCCTACCGACCGCCGCGCCCGCGGCCTCCGCTGTTTCTGCCGTAGCCGCCGCGACTCCCCTGCCGGCCGCCACCACGACTTCCCTGCTGGCCGCCACCACGCCCACCGCGATAGTTCTGGCTTGCGGTGAGGGCGGTGGCCGGCTCCATAATAGCGGCTTCTCGGAGAAGAAGTTTGCTCTCCAGATCCACGTTGATTTCTTCACTTTTAGCCACGAGGAGAGAGTAGCCAGGTCAACGGGCGTTGGACTGATGCAAACCGCCTGTTTAATGGAGGAGTAAGCTGATGGGAGCCCCCGAACGACGCACATGACGAGATCTTTTTCGAGAATGATTTCATTCACGGTGTCGAGGGCTGTGATGATGGTGGAGACCTCGTCTAAATACTCCGCCATAGTTTTCGTGCCTTTGGTAATTGTGTGGAGACGATCACACAATTGAAAAATATGAGAGTGGGAAATTGATGCATAGCGTGTTGCGAGAGCCGTCCACAGGGCTGAAGCAGTTGTGTAAGATCGGACGTGTTTCTGAACCGTGGGAGAGATGACCGCAATGACGGCATTGGCCAGATTGGTTTTTTCTGATTTATCCGTGGCGGTGATGACTGCCGGCGGCGGTTCTGTGCTTCCATCGACGTATTTGAGAAGGTAATTGGCCTCAAGGGCTGTAAGAACGGTGATTTTCCATGTAGGGTAATTTATGTCTGATAATTTTTTCGGGAATCAGGGCATGAAGATGCTTGAGAAGGAGTTTAACGCCAGAAGGAAGTGAATCGAGAGGATCCACCTCGGTTGTCATGGCTGCCGCCGCCCAAGAGAAGAGAGGGAACGATCGGTGCCCTAATGAGAGAAAAATAACCTAGAGAAAAGAAGATCTAGGTTTTCTGGCTCTTGATAACATGAAGGAATATTGATTGTATTGAAGTGTTAACCTAATAAGGGAAAAATGGGAGATATATATAGGAGATATAGGAAGGAGTACTAATCCTAATAGGACTAGGATTAAGGAGTACTAATCCTAATAGGACTAGGATTAGTATACAGTAAATACTAATATTATTTAATACTATTTATTTAATACTATCTGTTATTAGTTGCTATTCAAAGTAGGTGGGGAGACCTGCTCTTCTTGGATCAAATCGTTGTCATTCTCTGTTAACTTTACTTGCTTTCCATTAGTCTTAGATAAAGTATTAAAGTTATTCGAACATAATAGGTCTCTTGAGGCATTACTAATATCTTGTCTCTTTTTACTATCATGAAAAATTTCCAATCGCTTCCTTTTCACTACATGAAAAATTATTTTGACTACTCGGGAAAAGACTCCGATTACTAGTTGAATTTTTGTGTCTAATCAGTGTTCAATTTTTAATTACATTCTTGATTTCAAACTTGCAAACTAATTTAATTGGATCAATAATAAAATATCTCATATATATATATATATATATATATATATATATATATATTAAAAAATTCAGTCTAAGGACATAAAAATATGAGCAAAAAGTATAACTAGATAGATATTCTTAGCAAAATAGGTGACCGATTCCAAAGATATATTTAGACATTTAACAATAGTCCAAGTGCATTTTTTTGTCCTTTTTGTTCCATTATTTAAAGTCATTCACCTATGGTTAAAATATGTACTAAGGAGGAATGTGGGTTACCATTAAATAGGTAGACATGGAAGTTGTCGTAATATGGAGGATAATTTGTGAAGTAGTCAAAAGCAGAAAATGAGCTACCATAGCCTAACAGATTCCATGTCACGGGAATCACTATAGCTATGAAGCTGTAATCCATAAAAAATGTTGATCTAATAATTCCCTTCCATTATAATATTCTTTTTACAAGAGGAACTTTTATTATTATTCTCAGAGTTTTATTTATGTAATAAAATTTGAATTAGTATAGAGTTTTGAGAAAAAAATATTTTTGGAATTTTTAATCTAAATAAAATTATACATGTGATCATAAATGATTTATTAAAAGTAAAATAAATATTTCAAAGTTAAATTGTTACTCCCTCTATCCCATACTCTTTTCTTTTTTAATCGATTTCTTACTCTAATTGAACTATTGGAGACAACTTAAATGTAAATTTTTTTTTTCTTTATCAAAATGATTGGCTGCTATATAAATATCTAATGGTTATTATACATAAATTTTAATATTTTTTATAAAAAATATCGAGCTAAATCATATCGTTTAAATATAGAGATGTGTTATTTATTTAAAAATTAATTTTAAAAAAGTGAATATTGTAAATTAGGATGGAAAGAGTATTATATTGGTTGTCGCAGTATAAATACCCTGCATGCCATTACATTTGTTCAATCATCTTTGCAACGATTTGTGTGCTTTAGCTTCCTTACAATAACATGGCTTCTATAACTAAAGCCTCATTACTTATCCTTTTCCTCTCCTTGAATCTCCTTTTCTTCGCCATAGTCACTGCAACTAATACTGATTGTGCCTTCTGTCCTTATCATCCTCCTGGTAGCGGTGGCAGCGGAGGTGGCGGTTCAGGCAGTGGCGGCGGAGGTTCGGGCAGTGGAGGTGGAGGCGGAGGTTCGGGCAGTGGAGGTGGAGGCTCGGGCAGTGGAGGAGGCGGTTCGGGCAGTGGAGGTGGAGGTTCGGGCAGTGGAGGAGGTGGTTCGGGCACTGGAGGTGGAGGTGGAAGCGGAGGTGGAGGTGGAGGTGGAGGTGGAGGAGGTGGAGGTGGAGGTGGAGGTGGAGGTGGAGGTGGACAAGTAAGGTGTCCAAGAGATGCTTTGAAACTTGGTGTGTGTGCTAATGTACTTAATTTGGTGAATGTAGTAGTGGGGTCTCCACCAACTCTTCCATGCTGCAGTTTGATACAAGGACTGGCAAATTTAGAGGTGGCAGCTTGTTTGTGCACAGCTATAAGAGCAAACATACTGGGCTTAAATCTGAATGTGCCACTCACTCTTAGCCTCATTCTCAACAACTGTGGAATGAATAATAGTGGCTTCACTTGCTAAGGCATTCTGCTCTTTCTCTTATATATGTCTTTATCATTATCATGAATTTCCTAGTCTTAAATTGCTGTAAATAAGCGAATTTGCAACATCAACTTATATATTAAGCAGATTCGTCAACCAGTTGATATTTGTACTCAAAAGGCTTACTACTACTATATATGGACTGTCTTCTCTATTTCATAATTATAAGAGTAAGAATATTTATATTTGGTTTTCGTTCGACTACTCTAAGTTTTTTTCTTTTTTGGGTCATAAGTAAAAAAAAAAACGTGCTAACACCACCATGTGCCTTAACTCTGTACGTACCTTATGTAGTTTGAGCTTAATCATTACAAAATGATACTTAATTTAGGATCTACAAACATTATTAGACCACAAAATTTACATTGAAGTGAGGTGAGTAAATCACAACTACATGTTTTAGTGGCGACCTTGAAGTTGTTATAAGTAGTTACGAAATTGAATGTCATTTGAGGACAAAAATATACGCATTGTAGCGACTAAAATCGCCACAAAAAGTAAACCAAATGAAGCCTCAAAATGGATACGTACTCCATATATTTTCATGCAAATAGCCTGAAACGTTCGAAAATGGTCAGCCTCCATTATTCTTAGTACTTTAGGGCGGCTTGAATGGAGTTTTTTTATTGGCTGATATTTTATCATTATAATCTATAAAATAGTAGGGTTCACACATTTGTATAATATATTCATCCTGATCCTAATATATACTTTTTACTTTTTTGCGCCTTCAGTCTTTATTATTCACAAAGTTTTTGTTCTTTAATATTTAAATCATTGAATCGTGTACCAGATTCAGCGCTCATCTGCATTAAGCTTTGTATAACTCACTTTCTATTTTACTTTGATTCATCACTTTTAAATCGTCTTTTAGCGTATTAATACTATAATATTTTAACGGCTGATAATCAAAATCTAATGAGTTAACTTAAGGTACAGATTCTTGACCGTATACAAATTTTACTCAACCATTATTTCGGTAAATAACTAGTGTTACTTGTGTTTCCTAATGTCACTAGAATAATTGTTTTCCTCATTTTTATAAAATTTGTTTTATTTATATTTCTCAAAATATTTGACCTACCGAGCATACAAAAATTGTTAAACACTTTCTTATGCTGCCTGCTGTTGAAATAAAAAAGTTTCTCACATATGGAAATCTTTTTTATTGTTTACAGCTCTAATATTGCTAGCTAGCAAATTGAACCTTCTACTATAGTTATGACCGTGACTTAATTGGAATCTGCATGATACTATATTTTAAGCAATGCCCTTTTTCTAATCATGACCTGCAGGAGTAATTAACGTAATTAGGTTAATTAATGCAACAACCACATCCCGTGATTCTAAATGAGGCTCCTGCTTATATTTCAAACCTTTGAACTGTTTGCAACAAATCTAAAATGACAGAATAAATTGATCACAAATAAAATAAGAAAGAAACTTAATTTTATTTATTGACAAACATTATTGGGAACAAATTTGTTTATTAGGATGATGTATTTGTCGAACTAGGGCGATTTGGACTTTCTTGAGATTTTCTTAATCTCCGTTGATTTTTGTGAATGTTTTATGTATTTCTGGAATATTCTAGATGTCTTTTGAAGGGAATATAATACCAAAAGTAATTGCAAGAACCCTAACTAAAGTAAAACTCCAATGGTAGAAACCTACGAAATTTCGATGAGTACATGATCATTTATAAAAATGATATTACACGTTTGAAAGAAGAAAAAAAAAACAGTGGGCCACAACCCTATCGAACCTACAAATTAGATATACTTCACATCTTGACTAATTAACGTATAATTGCAACAACCACATCCCGTGATTCTAAGGTTCCTACTTATATTTCAAAGCTTTGATCATGTATAAAAATGATATTCCACGTTAAAAAGAAGAAAAACAGAAACAGTAGAGACCACAATCCGATCGAACCAATAATATTGTTATTTTTTTCTTTTTTCAAACTCAAGTATATATAGAATGGAACCGTTGCAAAAGAGAGTAATAACAATGGGTGAGAGTTTATATAAAGGTCTCTGAAGTAATTAATATCTTCTTTATCTCAACTTACGTGACATAGTTTAAATTTTAAGATTCAAACTTTTGAATTTTGACCGTAAATTCAAAAATAAAAACAAAAATATTTGAAACAAAATTTTTATAATTGAAAACGACATAATGTTTTCTTAGTATAAATTACAATAATTATTGCCGCCGTTCTTTTTTAGTTGTCATAGTTATCTTTTTGAGATTCAAACTATATGATTTTTTAGTAACATTTTAAGATGTATTTTTTCATTATATTGATATGAAAAAAATTGTAATTTATAGTACTTTCCGTGTTAATATAGTCAAATTTAGCTTTGAAAATTAAGTTAATTCTCAAAAAGGATAATATAAAAAAAAAATAAAAAATCTTAGTTGATTTGGCGTATCCATTTAATAATTTTGAGAAAAAAGATTAGCTTGTTTTGTTTCAATTTACATGTTTTCCATTTGATATTAAATAAAGATGAAGCAGTTTATAATTGAAGTACAGTATCTAGATCAAGATTGTCTTGGCTTACAGTTATGTTAATACAGTTCAAAATTTGAGTAGTCAGAAAAACGCATAGGGGATATATCTTTAGTTGAAAGTTTGGGTTGTTGGCTTTAATTTTTTTTTTTTAAAAAAATGTAAGTTCATTCTGTAGAGATGACTTTGATCACAGGAATTTCTAACTAAATACTAGTGGAGACTAAAATGCAATTTAATATTTAGCAACAGCCATGGATGTAATCAGATACTAACTACCACATAAGTAATTAAATCAAATCATTACCAATATTCAAGGAGACAAATTTTTCAATAATAGAATACTTTAATATTAGTCCTGAATATATACTTTATAATTAATGTTTATTTATTGAAACAATAGCCTTTTTACAAGTATAAATAACCATCGTTACTAGTACAAATCAACCATCATCTTCAGAATTATAGACTCCTTTATTTATTTTCTCATTAATTCGTACTTATTGACATGGCTTCGAAAAATCAGGCCTCAATTACCCTTTTCTTATCACTCAATCTCCTATTCTTTGCTCTTGTAACTGCAACAGATAATTGTGGCACTTGTGGAAATGGTGGGGGAGGACAAGGGAAGTGTCCGAAGGATGCTTTGAAACTTGGGGTATGTGCTAATGTACTTAATTTGGTGAATGTAACTGTCGGGTCTCCTCCACCTTTGCCATGCTGCAGTTTGATCCAGGGACTGACGGACCTAGAGGCCGCGGTTTGCTTGTGCACAGCCATAAGAGCAAATGTGCTGGGAATTAATTTGAACATACCACTCTCTCTAAGCCTCGTACTCAACAACTGTGGAAGGAATCCTCCTACCGGCTTCACTTGTTGAGCAGTATCGCGATCTGATTGATATCGAATTGCTGATGTTGTTAGTGAGTGAGATCATAAATGCTTGCCAATGGCGCGGGTTTTATCAATTAAGTTTCCTTTGTGTTTGTGGAATTTTGGACATCGTTCTCTCGTTCAGTTCAGAATAAGTGAGCTTTGCATATATATAAATGCAGCTTCATCACTTCACTTTACATAGTCCTGTTATGCTTTTTGGACGTGTTTCCTTTACAAATGTTTCAATTCAATGGATCGAATGTTTTTTTATTCCTTTTACCGTAAACAGAAATTTATAAGTAGAGTTGAAGAAAAGTTATTATCCTTCTGTTAACAATTTGGACATCACATTTTTTCATTTTTCGATATTCGCCAAATTAATTCCCTTTCCCCTAAGCAGAAATTGATAATTACAATCAACCCTTATCTTGTTTGAAAATTGTATTACTCATATAAGTAAGATAGGGGTAATGTATAAGTACCCTTCTAATTTATGAGCGAATTCAGTGATCACCGGTTAAATTAAGAATGTGACGTTATGAATTTGATCATAATTTAAGGGATATTTATGCATTATGTTCTGAACCGAGTTGGATATGCAAGGTCCTATGGACTAGAATTGGAGACTAATTTAGTGGATTATCGGGCTGAGTAAAATGTTGGAGTGTTTTATTTGGGATCCCCGCCCAATTAGCATTTGGTTAAAAAGGCAAATGAGTTGGAAAGAAGAGTTTGTGCATATTGAAGAAAAATGTTTGAAAAACTCTCTTCTTTTAGAATCTAAACTTCTCTTCTCAATTCTTATCTGTATCTCAGTTACTTATTCTTTCAATATTTTCATTGTAATTTATTAGTTTGAGAATTACAATTATGATTCTAAATTTGTAATCACATTTCAATTCTCTTATCCGTGGTTCACACCCAACCAAAAAAGGTGGATCACTGGACCCTTCACGGGCCGTGGACCACCCCACGAGCCGTGGGAAGGCTCGTGTAAGCCATGCAGTAGAACCTTCCTAGCTCAGGCATCAAACCACGGATCTCTCCACGGTCGTGATCTTGATGACGGGCCGTGGGAGTGCTCGTGGACCTGAGCCACCAGACCCCAACCCAAATGAAGAACCACGACGACCTTCAAGGTTTGTGGTCCTTCACACGGCCGTGATAAGGCCCGTGGTTGACCCCCCACCCCGAACTAGTAGCCACTGCTAGCAGACCACGACCCAAACAATAGTCTGTGGTCCAAGTGATTGTTAGTAATTGACGTCGTGGTCGGCCTCGATAAATTTTTAGTTAAGGGTTGTTTAGTCTTTTTCCTATGCATTGGACATCTAGATACATCGTTTAACCCTTAACTACGTAGTTTTAATCAGTTTAAGCATAGTTAATTAATCAGATCCTTCCCTAATCGATTTTCTCCAAAATAAATCGGTACTTAGAACAAAAGAGACGACCAAACCCTTCAAGAATGCAATGAGTTTTCTTTAGTTTCACCCCTGAAATCGAAAGATTTCTTCATAGAATTCGTCAAAATGTACGTTAGATTTCATTAGCGGGTTCCTTTCATCCACTAGGTCCTTAGAATTCAATAGACTCTTGATTCTCTATCTCTAGTTAGACTTAGGGTTTCTAGAACTTTAGATAATTATTGTAATTTAGCTGTTATATTGTTCTTAATCAGATGATCATATTTTGTAGTGTTGTTGCTTAGTTCCTTGCATGAAACTAACCCTAGTTGTGTGGATTCATTTAGTTCATGAATTGTACTAGCTATGTCAGATAAACAGATATATATGCCTCATATTTCAAATGTTTCATTATCAGTACTTAAATGTATCATTCCCAGTTGGCATGTCAGAATATTGAGTTATCTATTATATATCAGTGATGTTGTATTATACATTTTCAATTGAGAGTAGTCTTAATATCCATTTGGACTATGGTACTGTTACTTTCATAGTTCTTGAACTACGTACCTCGTAGGTTTGTAAGTCCCATCTGTGGACATCATGTTTAGTTATCATGACAGGCATACCTTTATACCAGTTGAAAGATATATTGGGTCCTCTAGATAGGGCGTATACGTTGAACTCCACATTTAGCTCACGTGGTTTTATGTCAGTTATTAGCAGCTCCCAAAGTCAGACTTTTTTAATGCATTTTACAAGGTCTTTAGTTTATACTTTGATATTCAGTCAGCATGTCATATTAAGGGTTCACTACTTGGTCATTTCATTCAGTTAAACTTTTCATTATATTTCAGTATTTACGTTCATATCCAGTCAGTTGCGCTTTGTTCAGTTTATATGTTTGTTTAAATTTCATCTATATCCTCCATGCTCAACACATTCCAAGTACTGACGCGATCTACACTACATCCTTTCATGATGTAGGTTCAGGTATTCAGCATCCAACCAACATTAATAGTGGTGAGTCCTCATACTTCGAGGACAATAGATATATTTTTTATTTCAGTCTTTCATTTCAATTTTCAGTTTTGCTAGGTTAGCTGTGGGCATGTCCCAGTAACTCTGGTCTCTGGTTAGTAGAGGCTTTTCTAGACATAGTATTAGATTAAACTACAGATTGAATTTGATCTTTCAGTTGTTATTGAACTGTCAATATATCTTATATATTCAGATCAATTTTTGGGTATTCCTACTTTAAGATATTATGGTTTTAAGCTTTCGCATAGTATCTTTTATTCAATTACTGTTAGTATGTTTATGATCATATGACAACTCAGAGTTAGCTTGGGTTCACTCGTGATCCTATGTTCGGTGGCTACGTCAAGGGGGTAGCATCGAAGCGTGCCATATTTTGTTATTGTTGACATTGTTCTACTTGAACCTGGAGGAGAAGGTTCTCCTTAAGGGCGGGAGTATTGTTGTGAACGAGTTGGGTATGTAAAAGCCTATGGACTAGAATTGGCGGAGAATAATTTACTTGAGATTATTGGGCCGAATAAAGTGTTGGAGTATTTTATTTGGAATCATAGCCCATTAACATTTGATTTAAAGGGTAAATGAGTTGGAAAGAAGGGTTTATGCTATTGAAGAAAAATGTTTGCTCCTCTCTTCTTTTTCTAGAATCTAAGTTTCTCATCTCATCAATTCTTATCTCTATCTTAGTTACTTATTATTTCAATATTTTCATTTTAGTTTAGTTGTTTGAGTATTATAATTATGATTCTTAAAGTTGTAATCACATTCCAATTCTCTTATTAATATAGTGAGTGTTGAATGCCTTGAATCGGACCCGCTACAAACAGAAAGGACGGTATACAATGTTGTTGTATTGGGCCCTTAATTATCTGTCAATTCTGTATGTTGGGCCCAAGCCTTTTAGGGCGTAGCTTAGCACTATATATAGACGCTATGACAAACCCTATTCTGTAATTCTGTTTTTGCCTCTCCATAATAAAACTGCTCCCCCTCTTCCCGTGGACGTAGCCAATTTATTGGTGAACCACGTAAATCTGTTGTCTTGTTTTTCGCGTTTATATTTTCTCGTATTATCTCAAATTCCGCACAACAAATATTTTTTTTGTATTTCTCAATATTTCAGTTTAATATTTAGTTGCATGATATGGTATAATTTATAAGTTAAAAGGCTATATTATGATTGTTTAAATTGGAAGGAAGTGTGATCATTTGTGAAAATTTTAAGCGATGAAATTATTAAACTGGAACGAATTTTTAGTTGAATATTACCGATGATTCAAAAATTCTAGGAATAATTTCTTTTATTGAGTTATATATATAAGATCAACAAGCATATACTTTTATTCTGCAAGTAAAACACTATTAATATTTTTATTCGAAGTTCATAATTACAGTTAAATATTTTCAATTTTAGATAAGCTAATATTAAATATTATAGGAAAAGGGATAGATTTACCCCCGTACTTTAATAAAAAGAGCGTATATATCCTTTGTTATACTACGTGTACACATGTATTTCTACCGTCCAATTAGTGGTACATATAAAACCTTGTCACTAACGGAGCCCTATTTTATAACACGTGTCATGATCCTAATACACTACCCCTTTCATTCCTTTTCTAACCAATAGCCATGACCCGCCCCATAACCCTTAAAATAATCCTAAACACACACAACCTAATCAAACACCCAAAGAAAAAATTCGCCGCAATTCACAAACCAAAACACTAGTCGTCGATCATCTCCGCTGCGTTTCACCCAGAACCCTAGTCGTCCCCGCCGCGATTTCACTTTGTCTTTCCAGATTCGAACTTGTTTTCGTCTAATCTATCATGTGCTCGTTAAAGGTACCCATTCGATTTCGATGTCTTTCTACTTTTTGGTCTGCGTCGAATCTATATGTTGTTGTTGTTGTATTTTCTTGTTGTTTCTTTCTTTATTTTGTATAATATGCGTTTTATAGTGAAATTCGTTCTAGGTTTTAGTGAAGCATACTTTCCAAAAATGAAGTTCAGGTTTCCTTGAAAATATCATTTTTGGTTTGTTGATTTCGTAAAGTATTAAAGAAATATTTGTTTGTATTCATGTCGTTTCACCACTTTATCTTTTGTAGGAATCTCTTTATCTTGTATTCATTCATGTCTACCTACCAATTTATTTTTAATTTTTTTAAAGAATCTTTTGTTGTGGACCACTATTAGTCAATTAGAGATTAAAAAATTGAGACTTGTATGTGCTTAGTTTTTAAGGCTTTCCATAATTTAGAGAAAAAATCAAAACTGTAATAATTTTTTTTTGTATATGTAAAGTTAGATTGAGGGTTTATAATTTAGGGAAAAGGGATAGATTTGGGATGCTACTATAATGACATTTTTCAAATTACCAATTTTTCATTCAAACAGAATTATGTATATATATTATTATTTGTTGTGTTATTATAAAGTTGAATGTGAAGCAAAAAGCTGAGAATCTTTTGTTGTGGGCCACTTTTAGTCAATTAGAAATTAAAAAATTGGGACTTGTCTTTGCTTTTGAATTAAAAAAAAATTCTAACTTTGACATTATAAAATTGGGACTTGTCTGTGCAGGTTATTGTGTGACTTACTTAACTAATGTGACTTTCTTAACTTACTGTATGTGACTAACTAACTTAACTTATGTGACTTACTTAATGTATGTGAATAACTAACTTATTGTATGTGACTAACTAACTTACTGTATGTGATTAACTAACTTAACTATTGTAACTTAACTTAAAAAAATTACTAACTTAACTTTAAAAAAATCATTAGTTTACTTTGAGCCAATGCAATGTATTAGTTTAAATTGTAATTCTCTTTAAATGATGTAGATACCATAATAGAGATGATATTAAATTTGCACAATCTGTAAATTCTGATGAACTATGTATTGTTCTTTTTACATAAAAAATAAACACTTGTTAAAGGAGTAGTCGAAAACAGCTGAATAACTCACTGTTATTTCATCTAACTGTCTTATATTTATTGTTGCTTATGTTATTTCATAATTCTTTGTAGGTCATTCAAATGGTTAAAGTTACAATTTACTTTCATCATGATGGTGAGTGGCTAACTAGTCCAGAACCATACTATGTAAAGGAAGTGTGACTTATTGGAAAGGGTATGATCCTGACCTTATATCTTTTTTAGACTTAGTTAATGAATACACAAATAAGTTAGGCTTTGTGAGTGTGCAAGAACTAATTGTTCTTGCTCCAAGCGAATTTTTTTTTTTTTGAAATAATAGGTGATGAGGGGGTTAGGACCTTAGCATCTTTTGTATCTAGTGAGTATAATCAATTCGCTTGTTTGCTACGGATTAATGTGACTTGTCTGTTAAAGTAACTGATATTTTGATGCATGATGGGTCATGTTTACTTGTACCAATTATTAATGAGGGTACAGATTGTAGTGAAAGTGATGATGACAATAATAATGAAATGGTATTTAGTTGTTCGGATTATAACACAGAAGAATTAGAAAATTTCTTCACTAAAAAAAAAGGAATATAACTGATAGTTTGCAAGATTATAAAGAGATTGTTAAGGGTATGGCCTTCAAAGACATAGCTGAAGCAAAACAGTTTTGTAAACTGTATGCTCTAGCTAAGAAGGTAGAACTTGTTGTGGTGAAGAGTGATAAAAACAGATTGAGGTACAAATGTGCTGCTGATGGCTGTCCATTTTTACTATTTATTTCTGGGGATATGACTACTCCTGGTGTTAGTGTCAAAACACTTGTAGAGCATATAGAGTGTGGAACAACATATAATAGCTCTGCAGTAGATTATTCCATAATAGCCTTGTATTTTAAGGACAAATTGCAAAGTGACCCCACGTAGAAGGTCAAACAAATGAAGGATGATTTACATAGAGTTTTTGAGCTCAATGTTAGTGAAGCAAAGTGCAAGAGAGCCAAAAAAGAGATATTGGAGAGTTTAGAAGGAAGCTTTGTAGACTCTTACAACAAATTAGAGGGTTATGCTACTGAATTGAGAAGTCGTAATCTAGGGTTTAACATTGTGATTGATTTGTCTAAAGAGACACTATCTAATGACAATAGAGAATTTTTTAGGATGTATATCTGTTTCAGGCAATAAAGTTGGGTTTTAAGTCTTGGTTAATACCACTGATTGGGTTAGATGGTACATTCCTTAAAGGAAAAGCTAAGAGACAAGTATTGTGTGCTGTTGGTCAAGACAGTAATAACTCTTTCTACCCTCTAGCTTGGGATGTGGTAGATAAAGAGACTAAGAGGACTTGGACATGGTTTATGCAACATTTGCAACATTCCCTTGAGCTTCAAAATGGTGAAGGACTGACATTCATATCAGATATGCAGAAGGTAATATTATACTACTGATTTGCAATTTAATAACCTTTTCTTGATACTTATTTCTTTATTAATTTTAGTTGTTTTTATTTGATATTTAGGGGCTGCTTGAAGCAGTAAGGACAGTCTTACCTGAAGCATATCAAAGATATTGTGCAAGACATATTGAGGCAAATTGGTGCAGAAGATGGGGCAAAGGTGAGCTGAAAAAGTTGTTATGGTAGGCTGCATGGTCATCATTTACAGAGGAGTTTGAGGACCAACTTGAAGAGATCAAGGAAGTTAATGGAGAGACTGGACAAAATTTAATAGACAAGTATCCTCCAAAAGCATGGTGTAGAGTCTATTTAGATACAGTGTGCAAAAATCAGATTGTGGACAACAACTTTACTGAATGATTCAATGCCTAGATACTTGAAGCAAGGTACAAGCCAATTATTGAAATGTTGGAAGACATTACAGTCAAAATAATGGAGAGGTTGGCAGCAAAAGAAGTTGTTGTGAGAAAGTGAAAAGATGATGGGTTTAGTCCCAAAAGTGAGATGTTGTTTAATGAGTATTTGAAGATTTTCAAGGTTTATAAGGTGAGTGGCAATGAGAATAATGGCTATGAGGTTACTGAAGGTACAGATAGACACATTGTCAACTTAACAGTGAAAAAATGTACATGCAGAACATGGGACCTGACTAGAATTCCATGTCCACATGCACTTAAGGCCAGGAGCACAAGAAAATGATACCAAAAAAAAAAAAAGAAATTCATTGGTATTATAGTAAAGAGGCAACCTCGGCAGTTTATACACACAAATTACAACCTGTTAGGGGATACCAGAATTGGTCAAGCTTGTTGGTAGACGTAAGCTAACGAGGGAAAGAGAAAAGAATGAAGTTGTTAACAGGCAAGGAGTATGGAAGTAAACAAGAAAAGGAAAAGTGATGACATGTAGTAATTGTGGAGAGTAAAATCATAATGCAAGAGGATGTGAAAAGGTAATTTTCAGTTCTCTTTAATCTTTAATTCCATCAAATACTTAATATATTTCACTTCTAAATTCTATATCTTCTATTATGATTAATAAGGCAAAGCAGGAGAAACAACATACTAAGAAACAAGGGAAACAACCTGCTAAGGAACGAAAAGAAACTGGCGGGGGGGGGGGGGGGGGGGAGGAGGCAGCCTAGGAGAGGTTTAGTTGATGATAAAGATAAAGCCTATGAGGAAGACATCAACTGCACAACCCACAACCAACACAAGAAAGTCAGTTTGAATATGCTTCTTCTAGCAGCTATTATCCAGTAGCTGAGGATAATGATGAAGACCCTAGGCTAAGGCCAAGAACAATCTCAGAAAAATATTTTCTATCAAGATTGAGAAAGAGACAAAACCCACAAGAACCAATTGTGAGTAGAGTAATAGGCTTCAGAGGTGACAAATTTAATGTTAGTGAACCTACAAATCTTCCCATAGCTCCAACTGGCATAACTTGGAATGGACAGGGTGCATTTACTAAAAATCAGCTACAGAACTTGAGGCCAAGAAGAGGATGATGCTATTGTGTTGGTACTGTTTTGTATATGTTGGTGTAGTTTTTGCTACCGTTTGTGTAGGTTGGTGCCTTAAATGATGTTAAGGCTAAACTTATTTTTTTGGTATGTTTTGTTTAGGCTGGTGTCTTACACTTATAGTTGTAGTTTTGATTTTTACTTCTATTTTTTGTATAGACTGAGCGTATCAGCTAAAACTAACTATCATTTTGCTTATATATAACCAAGTGAATGTTATATATAGTATTTTGTATTTATTGGGTTCTATTAATGTAGGATGTGGTTTGTGATTTGAAATGATTTGCACTTTTTTTTGTTGTTTTGTTATGTATCTTTCCATTGCTCTTTATTATTGTTTTGTTATGTATCTTTCCAATCTTGCTTTTACTTTCTAATGAGTTTGTTATGATTTGAAACATTTATTTAAGAAAAACATAGTGGCAATACCACAAACTTTATCTATCTTCAACGTAAAAGACTAATATAACACAACTAAATACTATAAACTTTAAGGCAAAAGACACAAAATAATATTTCAAATTCAACACCTGAAATTCATAATAAGTTTGAAGCAACACTTGAAAATAATGGTCAACATTCAAACACAACTAAATACAACAAACATTAAGGCAAAAGACACAAAATAATGTTTCAAATCCAACACTTGAAATTCACAATAAGTTTGAAGCAACACTTGAAAATAATGACCAACATTCAAACACAACTAAATACTACAAACTTTAAGGCAAAAAAAAAAAAAGACACAAAATAATGTTTCAAATCCAACACTTGAAATGCACAAGAAGTTTGAAGCAACACTTAAAAATAATGGCCAACATTCGAAAATAAGATTCACTATCACTAATACATTAGAAACAATTGAAATAACTAACACTTGAAAATTGCAACAACAAATACCACAAACACAGTAAATGGCAACATGAACAAGATCTTCAACTTCGACACTTTAACTTCCAAATTTCTTGATTTATTCAATTTGAAGTAGTTTAAACTCTCTAAATCTCCAATTTCTTCTTCAAATTGTCTCTTTCAATCTTAACCGCATTCAACGACTCTCTCAAATTCTTTATTTTCAACGTAGCAACTTCCAATTTAGACTTCAATAAATTAACTTCGATAAATGAATTTTCTGAAAAACTGCTTTCTCACCTCTAAAATCCACAATTTTCAATAAAAATAACAGAGAAGAAATCATGAACACCAAATACAATCACAAATCATATTAATTTCCTGTTAGGCGAAAAATGTACCTTAGGTTTAGAACATCTATAAAATCTTCTTTCAGAGTTCAATGGAGTCCTTGAAGTGAAACAACAAGTCAATTCACCACAAAAACAAATCATCGTCATGGAGTTACTAATTGAATCACATGAACTTTCAGACATGATTTTAGGTGTGAATTGAAGGAGACAATAGATGAAATAGGAAATTATGACCAACACACTATAGATGATTTAAGGTCGCGACGAAGATGAACTTGAATCAAACAAAGACGAGGGTTTTGGGTGAATAGTTGCGGATTTTTCTTTTGGTGTTTGATTAGGGGTGTGTGTGTTTAGGATTATTTTAAGGGTTATGGGCGGGTTGTGATTATGAGTTGAAAAGGGGATGAAACGGGTAGTATAATAGGATCATGACACATGTTACAAAATGGGCTCCGTCAGTGACAAGGTTATATATGTACCAATAATTGGACGATAGGAATACATGTGTATGCATAGTATAACAGAAGGTATATATGCACCTTTTATTAAAGTACGGAGGTAAATCTGTCCCTTTTCCCAAATATTATTGAAAAAAAATTCAAATATATTAAATCTTTGGATTAACTAATTTAAAAAGAATTCAAATTAACTCTTTCACAAATTTTTAATAAATACTCATAAATATTTATGAGGCGCCAAAATTGGTACAACGAGAATGGAAGATTAAAAAATAGAAATGAATAAATGGAGTATATCAAGAAGAGAAAAATGAAGACTCAATAACATAATTTAACGTGATATACACACCACGCACGTAGGGTGAAACTAGTAGAATAAATATATTTCTTAATTTGATCTCATTTCATATTTATGTCCTTTAATTTTAAGTGTGTACGAATAACACTTAAATTTGTATAAAATTGAACAAATAGACACATGAATCCTTCGTGACATAGTCCTTTTTGAAATTGATAACTTTATCTAATCCTCAAAAATGAGTACTAAAAATTTACAACATGTACTTCAAATCCTATTATCGTTTACTAAATTGTGTCTAGTACAATCCTACGTGACATAATACACGTAAAAACAACATATAAAACTCAAATTGCCATATAAGATGTCTCATAAGATGCATATGTTTGTTTGTTCAACTTTATACAAATTTAAATATTTACCTATACACATCCAGAATTGGAGAACATAAATATAAACTTGATGCCAAGTTATGAGACAGTTATATATTACACGATCAAGATATAAACTAAATACATATAAACTTAGCATAATGGTTTCTGCAGAGCAATTACCTACAATAAAGCAGGCAACCTGTGCACTGAAGCTCCCGCTATCGCTATATGAGGGATCAAGAAAGGATCAAATCACAAGTACGCAACCTATAATGCACATTTCACAAGGGTATATTCTATGGAACCTATAACAGGAAATTACATTTCACATGGGTCTACTACCATATTACATAAAATACAACATATTCAAGTATTCTATAATTTCCTAAATGAGCCAATACTTCCAAGTTCTTCACAGCTAGGGCGAGCAAATTTAGCCTACTTTTAGGGAATATATTGACGTTCACATCTACTCAGAACATCCATAGTTGTTACATTTTGTAGCATACTGTCAGTATAAAGCAACAGTGATATTAAAGCTAATTACATAATGAACATTTGGTGAAACTGTATCATACAACATGCTGGGTACTTAATCCTGAAGCGAGGTTACGCCAACAAGAGATGCAGCCCTCTGTAATCCCACCGAGAAGCTGAAAAAGAAAACGGATGGAAGCTTCTTATTTTTAAGTTTTTGCCTGAGGGAAGAAACATTCACGGGCCCAAAAGTATCCTTCCATAGTTTTGAGGACATTGAGCAGATGATTGCAAGGGCAGAGTCTCAAAGCCAGTGCCCTGAACACGATTTTCCATAGTTCCAAACCGGCTCATTCCACCATTTACAATGTTGTAGCATGCTGCAACTGTAGCTGGCTGTACTAACATCATACTAGAACTTGAAACCTGAACTTGGCTATGTGCAGTTTCTGCAGGCAGTGTGTGCAGTTGTCCATTGCGCCTATTCTCCATACCATAACCAATACCAACACCTAGATTCAAGCTAACTGAGCCATTCTCTTCCGTCCTGACCCTTGAACCCCCAGTTACAGATGCTGATCCTGCCATTTCATGGTTATTAGTCCTAGCTGCTGGTACATCGTGATTGTGTTTCCCCTCATATGTAGTAATTACAGATTTGGGATCATGGGATGCCCTCTCCACGTGTTTCCTGACAGGGCATCCAGCATTGGTGCACTTGTAATAACTCCTACATCACATTCACATGAACACCATAAAAACATAAGAAACTCACACCAAGACCAGGTTCATTGAATTTTGGATGTAGACTTAACAATTTTAGAGGTAAACCGACTATTTTCTATATCTAAAATGATAGCTAAATAATCATACTCCTTCCTAAGACTACAAAATCGGAAGAGAGGTCAACAAATCTATGTTATTTCCCTTTCCTGTTTAAAGTACGCAAATTAACGAAAACATCACCAGGTCCTCCATGCAAAGATATTCAGAAGTTTATCAGAGATTTGATGAATTGTTAGATGCGTGATCACTCTGCCTGCTCTGTCTTCAGTTTAGCCATTTCCATGAAAGCTAATTAAGGGTATTTTGAGTTTCAGAAAGAAAATTTAGGAGATCAGATATTCATACTGTGAAAATAGAAAATTTTCAATTGACTTAATACATAATAGTTATCAATTCCTATGCTAATAAAGGAAGTAAATGTTCTATAATTAAATAGAATATCCTGAGATATCCTATAGAATATTCTATATGATTTTCTTCATTTAAT